ACGTTTTATCCATTGGCCAAATTGTTTCCCATAACCTCCATTGTGAATCTCGCTGTTGTTTCCTTAGAAAGAATACATGCCACAATCTTTCCCTTTGAACACCGCGTGATTAAGAGAAGCGTTTACGGAATGGTAGTTGCTGCTATTTGGTTTCTAACTTCATTGAGGGAAACTGTTGACTTTGTGTTATACAAAACACAAGGAAGTTCTCATCTTGCGATATCATTCCAAACAATTACCATGATGTCATTTGGGGCACTTTCTCTGATTGTGATTTCTGTCTCTTATATTTCTATTTTCATCAAAGTTCGATTCAGTCCCAATCCTCGACATCATGGTGTAACCGACAGAGAGAGAAAACTGACCGCTACCTTACTTATTGTTACGCTTGCATCTTTGCTGACATGGCTTTCAGTTACAACTTTCAGAATAGTTGTATATTGGCATGAAGGTGTTCGCTTGGGCTGGTACTCTCAACAGTTTTCCTTTCACATAACAATGACGCTGGCGGCTTTAGTTGGCGTAAATTCCTTGGTAAATCCTATTGTTTATGCTATGAGGATGCCAGAATTTAGGGAAGTTATTGTCCAAATGTTCCGCAGAGCCCCAATGGACCATGTCGAGCTTATTTACCTCTGATACATTTACAGAGCATGCATCTGAATACTGAACGTCAGTCAAATAGACACGTACATACTCGCATCTGATTGTTCAGTTGAAAGTATTAAAATTATACCCAAAAATATAATGTGATGTAAACTTCTTTGCTGCCGGTGCATTAGCGTAGCGGGCATATTCTTGATACATTTGAAAGTTTTGGTTCAACCTTTGTTCGTTGGTTCGTCGTATGGAACAACCTATAGCTACAGGAATCACCGTTTATGCAAGCCAAAACGTTGTTTGTTTTCATGAAAACTTAGAACTCATCCCATCCGGCTCCTAAGCGATGAGTAGTATCCATGTATGAAGTCAACTACAATAAAGCTCTGCTAGAACCTCAAGCTTCGTTTGACCCACTTTTAGATAATATCGAAACTGTGAGCACTGAAGGTTTTAAAACTCCCATCATTTCACAGGAAGCTACCTTCAAATGCCTTAGTACGGTCATCTCCTCCAAAGCTGGGGGTCCAGATAATATCCCAAACTGGGTCATGCGTGACTTCGCTCCTGAGCTCNCAAATCCATATTTTACTAGATGCCGACATTCTTCTGTCAGAAGAGCGTCGGGAAAAACACCTCATAAGGATCATACGTGACAACACCCGCCGCGCCCCGACTAACGCTGAAAAAGCTCCTTACAATTCCTCATAATAAAATTAGAAAAAATTGTGTGGAGCTCTCCGGGATACTTACAGTGCAAGCCATTTGTGTCTTCTCATGAGGCAAGAGCAGCGCAAATTGATTCTGAGAGCTAAGTTCTACTGACCAATTTCCTTCGGGTTTCCCCCCTACACATCAAAGTCCATATAAGGTAACGCTTGCAATCGCTTTTAAATACAACCACGGAAGCGGAAAGAAGGTTCGAGCAGGAAGTCATTTCACCACCAGCAGTAAAAGGCGTCTATAACTGATTGAATTTACCCGCCAGGATGGATCAGTAGGGAAAGCATTTTGTAAACGGTTAATCTCCTTTTGTTTGAATTTATCAAAGAATTATATAATCTATACTTTTCGTGTTCGTTCGAATCCAATATGATGTCTGAATGTCGATGATGAATTGGCTTTGAGAGGTCAATAGTTGTTGTATCATAGGGTCTTGTTACGTCATAGGGCTTTTTGAGTTTCTAATGCGCATGTACTTGGCGCGACACGTGCTTATGATGAGTGTTGTGTTTAGCGTGGATTGCTTGTTAAATATTTCTCATTCGTTTATTCGAACTGGTCCGTTTCTCTGGTTACAACACTATTAATCGCTTTTTCTGATAAGAAAACTAAAATAACAGCAAGAAAAAGAGGATTGTAATCGAAGATTTGTTAAATGAACCGCCTCCGGCGTCGTTTAATTAACAAATTGGAACCAACTTTTGTTGATATAATCGAAGAAGGAAAAAGTTATGAATAAAATATTAGTCTAGCTGGCATCAGCAGACCATTTTGAATTGAATTCGAAATTCGTTCATCTTAGGGTTGCTGCATCCTCTGACGGAAACGGTTTGATATCATCAGTTGTGTGACGAATAGGGCGCGGTGATGTTGACAAATGTAAGCTGAACCAATAGA